CACATATTTAGATTCAAGAGCTTCTTGAAAAAACTCGAAATCCAAAACTTCAAAACCACACGAAATCTTCTCAAAGATGGTGGAGATTATGAACTCAAAATTAGGATTTTTAGGGTTCTAGTTCTCACAATGATTAGAAAAGAGATGTAGCAATGGTAACAAGGAAGAACATAAAAAGAGAAAGGAGAGACAAAGAAAGATGTCAACAGATGTTGAGGAGCATGAACTAATCCATGGTTGTGAAGGAAAAAGAAGAAAGAGGATATTAAATGGTGAAGAAATCTAATTTAGGGGGGGTGGGATTTTGTGAGAGGGAAATCCAAAAATGTGGGTGAAAGATGAAGGATTTAGGGTTTTTTAAGTTTCATCCTTTTTTTTAAAGGTTTTTATAGAATTTTTCCAATTTTTGGCCCAAAATGAGCCAGCTCATTCAGTTAGTCAGAAACTACATTTCGGTTTTTGATTACTAGGCCCCTTATTCGAAACCGAACCGAGTTAGGCTTGGATAAATCTGACTCCAAACATTTTTACTCAATACCATTATACTTGACTCGAATTCAATTTCCAAATTTGGATTTCGGTTACTCTAATGGTTAACCATCCAGTTGCCCACCCCTAGTCGTCATGCTATGTACACTTAAGTTTGTTGAAAGTCATGATTAATAATAAAAAAGGATATTAAAACTTTTTTTTTTGTTGGAAACTGATTTTTGCAAAATAAACTTATAAATTTAATTGAAAAATTATGGCATGCCATAAATGGTTAGATTAGGATGGTGCAAATCTAGCATAATCCTATTAATTTGTAAATGTAGGAGAGAGCTCTTTGCAAAAATATAAAGGGTTTGTCTAACCTATGTTCTTAGAACACATGTTAAGAGTGTATTAAATATATTTTTTTGGTATACATTTGCATTGAAAAAATAAAAAATAATATTTAATTTATTAATTGTCCAATTAAATTCACCCACTTGATACTGACACTAAAATTAATATCCATTTTTACAATCTTTTGTATATATTTATAATAAAAAAATACTCTTAACCTGTGCCTTAAGAACATAAGTTAGAAAAACCCAAATATAAAAGTTGAAATATGTTTTAAGTCTTTCCTTTTATGCAGATATTGAATGGTATGTACATGACAAAGAGATTGAAAATATGATCACTACAGTCAAAACAACAAACAAAAGCAGCATCTATGTAACAATATCATAGGAAAATATTAATTCCACTATTGCAAACATAATCAACTATATAAACAAAAAGTGATGGGCAAACTAATCAAATTAGTAGCTAATTTTCTGTAAAGAAATTCATTATTGAGTATTCAAATATCAAGAGAATCAATAAATAATTATTATGATTTTAACTTTGATGGTCTTCTCTAATAACTAGATAGTTGATTTAAACCAAAAATAATTGATGGAAAGAAAAAAATAAAAAAGAAATAAGGTATAACAAAAATAAAGAAAAAATCACAAAAATTCACTATCAAATAGAAGGAAAATCACATATAAAGACAAACTAGAAATATCTCCATAAAATCAAAAAGGCAAAAAAAGTATACTTCAATGATTATTGAAAAAAAACTCTTTTACTTTTTCCTTAAATAAATCCCTTATTATGCTCTTGAATTAAATAAAATTAGTTCATCTACATTATATTTGAAATAAATTAATTAAAATTTAACAACTAATGGAATTATACATGATTGTTTCATCTATTTTCTTTAATATCGGTTAAACTCTTATGATTTGATAATTTTAAACTTTCTGATAATATGAAATTTTCTTTTGGTAGGAAGTTAAAGGGTTAACTAATTTCATTTGGTATATAAAGAAATAACCATGTTATCGGGAAAAAGGGCCTAAAATTGCCCAATTAGTTAAGATCTTATCAGGTATTAAAGTGGAAAAAAGGAATATAATAGATACTTACATTATTTATTAAACTTTAGCTAATTTATTTCATCTAAAGTGAACAAATTACATTGAACTAGAAATTATGAGTGGAGATTTATTTGAAAAAAAAAAGGTATAAGGTTGATTTGTGTAAGAAGAGATATTCCTTTGA